GAAACCACCAAGTAAATATCACTCAAGCAAGCAGCTCACAAAAAGCAATCGGAAATTGATCAGTGGACTAACATGATCCTGCTGACTGGTTGACCTGACACTCTAAGTGAAAATGGCTCATCCTTAGTCAAAACAAAACCGCCTAGTGAATGCTGGTGAGTGCTAAAGCATCACAAACACATTCGCCTCCTCTGGCCACACCATGCTTTGCCCCTGCAAGTAGGAAGCCTGGGCAAGGACAACCCTTTCCAGCGCCAAAGCGTGAGACATTCAACCAGTAAGACACTGTGCTAATTATTAATGTTGGAATTATCTAGCAATGGCCATACAAACACATCACCTAACATTGAATCAACTTGCAAATGGTTCACACGACAGGGACAGACTGAATGCAAGGAATCGTCTTTGGCATCGACATTGAAACCTCTCTCTTGACCTCGCTTGGAGGGCTCCAATTTGGGGGCCAATGTTTGCACCAGATGCCCAATGAGCAGCACCATGACACCATGACAACTAGAATACATCCAAACTGAAACTCACAAACCTTTCTTACTCATCTATCAGATATCAAGCACCAGAAAGTGCAAGCATTGACCCAACATTTCCGGGGCGCAAATAAAAAGCACTGACCCTGGCCTGCTTTACCACGGGGGGGGGCAGAGCAGCATAAAGCGCAGCCACCAGGCCTGAATGGACATGACATTCTGCCGAGCTGTGACCAACTGTGATCATTGGGGATGTTTCAGAATGACGGTGCCCTTTTTCGTATGGAGCAAGGACTTGAACGGAAGTAAAAAGGGCACATCATTTTGAGACATCTCCAATTAAGAACAGCTGATGATGAAATCAACTGATCAACTCATCTTAGTTTACCATATCATGCGATGTGGCCTTTTAAGTAAACAAACAGTGACCTTGACCACAATTTAACAGGTTTGTTTGCTTGGATTGTCTGACGCCCAGCCTTTTTTGAGAATCCTAAACAAATGATAGCCGGACTGCATTATTAAAATTGTACAAACTTGCTGAAGCTGAAGAATTACTACTGAGTGAAAGGCCTCCAATGGATGTTAGTTCAACAGCTGCAAGAGACACCTTTGTACAGACACTGTGGCACATGAAGAAAGTCGAAATGATTAAGTTGCAGGACTATTGAATCAAACTCAAAAGGATGTGGACAGCCAACATTTGGCTCAACGATTCAGCACTCAGTTTCCAAGAACACAATAAATCAGGACACTAGTCATTGACTGACAATTGAGGTCTAGACCCTATACGACGTTCCAAGAGCCAGGGCGAACTTGTCCAGGTCTTCATCGGGTCCTGCCATCAAGCAACACAGTACACAGTCAATCAAAGAACAACTTGTCCGCCACACAGATTTCCAGCTTACTACGTGAAAGCTTCTGTCTGTAATTGACTGTAATTAGTAGACTGGTTGCTGAATAATGATCTGAGTGAAGGGCCTCCACTGGATGTTAGTTCAACAGCTGCAAGAGAAACCTTCGTACAGAATCAGTGGCACATGAAGCAAGTTGCTATGCAGCACCTGACTGACCGACATTGTAGTCGTGCAATTGAATTGAATCACATCGAAAGGATATGGATGGCCAGCATTTGGCTCAACAGTTCATTCCGCTTCAAAGTCCAAGAGCAACATAAATATAGTACAGTCAATTGAGGTCTAGACCCTATACGACTTTCGGAAGGGCCAGGGCGAACTTGTCCAGGCCCTCATCGGGTCCTGCCGTCACGCGCCACACAGTCAGTACACAATCAAACAGCAACTTGTCCGCCACACAGTTTTCCAGCTAACTAAATACATGAATGCTTCTGCTTTGGATGCCCTTATTTACTCTTGTTTTTGGCTGTAGTATGCTCAAGCTTGCTTCCCAAATACAGTTTAACTTGAAAACAAGCGAACACTTCCGACGGAGAGGTGTTATTAAAGGTGTTGGAGCCAAGCTGTGAATGAATTGAAATTCAGTTCTTTAGTTTTTAACATCTCATCTCTTTTTCCTGTAAGTTCTACAAATCTGCATCAAGCACAAGGGGAACACCACTTGGATTGGCTTGCAAATCTGACCCCCACAAGTCCGGCTTTCCCCCTCCAAAACCTGCATTTCAGCCGGACTTGTGGGGGTCAGATTTGCAAGCCAATCCAAGTGGTAAAACCGCAGTAATTGCACCTCCATCGGCAAAGCGTGTAGAAGCGCTGAAATGAAAAGCTCCCAGACCTCAAGGGATTGCACCAATCAAGCAACAAATAAAAACTCATGCCATCAACAGCGTTGGTAAGTAAGTAAACAAAGCTGTTCGGTCACAGCATTATCACGTGGTCAAAGACTAAGTCAGAATGGGGTGTCAGTTAATTGGTTGACAGCTGTTGTTGAGTTGAGTGGCAGACCGCGAAGAAACCACAAAGGTATAGCGTCTGTGGTATCCTGCCACGGTGTTCATCAACTGCGTTTTTCTACTGATACTGTATTAATACGCTTGCGATGCACTGCAAACTCAAAGACCAAAGCCAGTACTATAAGACAAAAACGAATCAAGTGGACTTCAACTCGGCACAAATTCATTTTGACAACCCACTCTGTTAGGTCACAGTTGCTTGCCAGACAGATCACTGACAGTTCCCAAGAAAACTGTTGTTGATTCATGTCATTACCTCTAATTAAGTGAATTGTCCAATTCACTTTGCTGGCGGCTTGACAAAAAGGGCAGTTGCCAGAAAGGCTACGCCCCACGATTCACTCGCAGCATCGGCGGACTCCACTTTGAAAATGTAGAAGGGACCATCTTCCTGAGCTGTGAGCTGATCTGGCCAATGTTGCAGCCAATGCTCCAGACGACTTCCCGCTATGCACATAGTTCTAGAATCAAACTACTTTGACAAACAAATTACATCATAACAAGGATTGAATATACCACCTGCTATCACCTGCGGTCTATTGGCCAACAAAGGTTCCTTGTGTGAATGCTGGACTTGTACATCTTTCCCACGCCAGTTGAAATAGCACCCAAAGTACCATCCGGTGGTCTGCATGTACCGGCTGTTGCAAACACGAGCGGCAGCTACTGCAGCTTCCTCACTATCACGAGCCTTGAGTACGCCGTCGACAGCCTCATTGATGGCCTGTAACAAGGCCTCGTTGGCTTCCCTCAGTGCAGTTGGCAGAAGGGAAGTTCAATTCTCAAGTCCTACAACTGCCAATCTGTCTTGCAAACGTAAAGGCGCTATACTATCAAAGCTTGTAATCCAACAATGCTAAAACAAAACAAATGAAGAGCCATGGATCGTCAAGGCCAAGGAAAACTTCACTTTGTCAAGGTCAACCAAAAATCCTGCTGATGGCCCTCCATGCCTGCCATCTCCATTTGGGCGCGCTTGCAAGTACCTCAACAGCCAGGTGGCCAAAATGCAATGGGACTGTATGAATGAATGACAGACTGTAAATACATCATCACACAGGCATCCCTAGTTGATATAAATGTAGAAAAAATACAAACCCTGTGCCATCACAAGCCACACCACCCTTCGAGCCATCACAAAGGCATTTATTTACACAAATGCATATACCACTGCGCAACACTGCTACCTCGGCAATAAATTCCTGTGAAACAATCGTTAACTTCCTTGCAAAAGATTGGTTGTAGTTCATTAAACTTAAAACCATGTGTTAAGGCCACCTCTTATGTTTGTGGTCAAGATACTCATCCTGGAGTTGATGATGCTCATCGAGGCTAAAACCAACAGCTTTCCACATGACAGTGGCCACCTCGGTTGACACGTCCCCCTTGGCCAAACCATGTTCGATCTCCTGAATTGCCTGTACGATCTCAAACGGAGTCCCCATGTCCATCATGGCTTGGCTCACAAAGTCAAATTGACACAGTAAGGCTATCTGGCTATCTGACACAAACCGAACTGCAGCCCAAACAGCAGCAGTTAAAAACAAACTTATTTCAGTCAGCTCCAATATTACACGTCAGCGCCATTGAATTGAACCTTCGATTGAAAGCAACCCTTGGACGGATGGGTCCTGCGTGCTTGCAGTAGCTGCGTCCCCCAGCCTCAGTGAAGAGTGTTTCACATTGCACATGAAGCTGCTGGAAAATATGACAGCCAAAGTCAGTGGAGCCAATTTGTTGTCTATTAAACATTAGTCAATTACCAGATGCACACAACATCCACACCTTGACAAAGGTCAATGATTCGATCTGTGGGCTAGCTGTGGAGAAGCAATAGGTAGCCAACGCAGAAGAAGTCCACATCCAACAAGCAGGGCACCCACCTTGGTTGGAACTACTATCCATGGCCAATTGACACAAGATTGAACCATCATGTATCAAATAGTTTTTGAACACGTCAATACTTATTAAAATGCCTTCCACCTGTGACATGGCTGGCAATGGCAGAGAAAGAATGTCAATTCAAGTTGGGCAATGGCTTCCCCCTGAAAGCCCCGGACTCCAGCATTGCCACAGCAGGAAACTGCTTGACGCCACGCCTAAACAGACATAGAATCTTTCAAGATGACACTATCACTCATTCTACCATCCTTGCATCATCAACAAAGAAGGGAATCCGCTGTCAGCTGTCTCCAATTCAATTCAGACTTGGCTCTGCAATCACGACACAAATACAGAAAAACAAACCACTGACAGACACTAGAAGATCCTTGATTGCTCAGAAGAAAGGTCGAGGCTATGGCCTCCTCATTCAGGTCGAAAATGAACACGTTGCGCTCGCCATGAGAGCCTGCATTCCAATGACGGCATACAAAGCTTATTGCACTTTCGAACACCTTGAGGTTTGAAAACTATTTTAAGCCACGAGCTAGAAACACCTGTTTTGCAAAGCTTGGTGATACCTTTCTCATTTGACCAGGTATTTTTCCGCTTCCGCGAGAAGGCGACGGTGAACCTCATATGCTCCTGGCAACAAATGCATATTAGCTACATGTCTATGGCAATGGGACTTCGTCCTGATTTGACTACTGCAAGCCTTGGCTAGTCTTTGGGGAACTTGAAGAATTCAAAAAGGTCAAATCATGCCACAGACCTTCAAAACTTGGAAACTGATCCGAGGACAGAGCTTTCTTTTGTCGAAAGTATCTCACACGAGCTTTCACGCAAACTGCCAAGAGGTCTTCAAATCCCAATGGCGATGACTTGCACTCTGCGCCAAAGGTTGCAGCATTGTCGATTTCAAACAAGATGTCGATCAGCTGGTCTTTTCGCAAACCTTGAACTGGCACAGAGAACTCACCACAAAGTTCTGCCAAGGCCTTCGAACTCCAGGAGCAGAACCCTGGCAAAATGAAGGCTTTCCTTTTGCGGCTGATCTGCGTCTGCGTTGTCTGCGTCTCTTCAATCTCAATCCAACTTGAAGAAATACTTTCAGACGATTTGGCCATGCGCGATCTGAATCAACCTCTAATAACACAACACATCTACAAAGAGGCCTAAAGCAGGAACACGTTCAAGCTTGAGCCCCAAAAGCCACTGTTTCAAAAATAGACACACCTGTCATTCTGTACTGTGTAACCCTTGCATCAGGGCCATGAGCATCATTCAAAAATAATTCCCTGACATTACACCAGATCAGCCCAGCCAGCCTCCAATCACCATGAGAGGCCGAAACGTGCTGACACTCACTGATCATAAATTGAATATAATATATTCTACTATTCTATGCGCAAGCCAGTTTTGTGGTGTGCGTGTGTGCCTTGTTCCCTTGTTCTTGCATGATGTGTCAACTACAGCATGCCATCATTGAATCACACCGGCGAGGAAGGCCCGCAAATGCAAAAGCACTGCGCAATGAAACTGCACAAATTGCGACTGCCGCCTGCAGGGCTCCTAAGAACAAACCTGATGAACAAATACCATTGAAATTTCTTCTTTGTATGTTTTGCATGAGAAACCCTGCCTGCTTAAGATGAAAGTCTGAAGCATCAGTTCTCAAACATTTCCAAATCGAAACAAACACCCAAACCTACGTTGAAAAAAAACTATTATAGTCAACAGACGACTTGAGACAGCCTTCAATTTGTCCATCCTTTGTCTAGAGACGACTTGAACCAATCTTGCATTGTTTCCACCCTTCGCCTAGAGACAACTTGAGCAAGGCCTACATGTTTGCCATTCTTCGTGTAGGCACAATTTGAGCTATGCTTGCATGTTTTAACATATTTCACTTAGAGACGACTTGAGCCAGGCTTCTATTTTGGTCTAATTTTCTCACATCTACTTCCTCAGATCCCACGGTTCTAGGCCCCACTGATCTGAGGGTCACCTCCGGGTTGAGGAGAACCCTTCTGCAAAGAAGACAACAAAACAGTAGTGAGATCATCATCACCCAACGCATCGCCAACAGACTGGCACGCCGAAACATATTCAGGCACCATATCGTGCAGCAAGCTGTCAGGTTGAACAACAAGTTCGTCGTTCTGTGGCATGTCTATCTGGCTCAGTACGGCATTCTCCAAAGCAAAGCCACCATCCTTGTCAGCGTACACTGCAGCGAAAGGACCAGTTCGTGGGTACTTCAAGCCCATGCGCGGCCACAAGGTGCAAATTGGAAGTGAGAGACCTCGTTTGTCACGGAAGTAGCTTCTGGAGCGAGCGCATGCCGCCATGCATGCACATTTTGCCTCTTGCAGAAAAAGCTCCGAAGAATCAGGCAGGCGAGCAGCACAAGGACGCGTGGGACCACGGTCACGTAGTTTCCACCATCTGTTGCTGTTCCCAGACTGAGGGCTACAAGACAGCTTGTCGAAAACATGCATCCACCGGATCTTAGCCTCCCACTGAAGAAGGCAAGAAGACACAACTTGCAAAGAAGGGAGTTGTCTGCTCATGTACACATGTTTTGCGTGCATCCTCAAAACAAATTCAACACTCCAAGGAATTTCACCAGGAGAAGGAATTGAAACACTCTTGCGTACAGGAGAATACATGTACACCCCATCATTGCCAAGACCACATTGCAAAAGGCAACAGAACTCAGCGATGGACATCCCCCTGATCAAGCGCAAAAATTGCTGTAGATTCAACTCCGTGTCCCCTTGGGAATCCCTTGCCCTTTCCTTTGCCTTTGGTTGTATTTCCAGTCTTTCCGCCTTTGGCTTTTCCTTTCCGACCGTAGTGAAAAACTGACTCATGCTTAGGCTTCCCTCCTTTAGCATCATGCACAGAAGGTGGACTCCAAGGGGATTGAGGCCACAACCCCCCATGTAGACCATCATGCCGGAGACCGTAGGACTTGCCTTTGCCTTGTCCCTTTGTCCCTTCGTTTGGAAATGCGAAGCAGCTCTACTCTTGCCTTTCCCTTTCCCTTTGCCCAGTCCAGGAAATTTCTTCGCTGCACGCTTGTCATCCGCTGGAGCTTCAGAAACAAAAGGTGCAAAATCATCCTTGGACATAGTCACACTGGAAGTGGTGGAAACAAAAGCGGCTGCCGACTCTACTGCTGGTTGCGAAGCTCTGGAAATCTCACCACGCTTCGGTTTCTGTGCCATAGCGATGCGCTTGTCTATCGCATCATTCAGAAAGTCAGCTGGGGCTTTCTTGGTCAAAGCACTCAATAGCTTCTCTTTCTTAAGCTGCGACCTTTCTTCTAAGTCTTTTTTGGTGTTCAAAAAGGAGGCGGCACGATCAACGGTCCGAGTGTAAATCACTGTAGCCTTGGCAGTCAAATTCTCAATGCTCATGCCTTTCATCTCTACATCGTCTTCTAAATCAAGGTCAAGTTCATGCCAAAGAGAAGACTGGAGAGCACGTGTCTGCAAGCATGTGGAAACAAAAGTACTTTCTTGGTGGCTGCTCTCAATACTTCACGCTGTTGCTGAGCCACCAGAAGGTCATAGCGTTTCATCCGTTCCAAATATGCTCTTTGCAGAATTTCACGGCATTCACGCAAAGACTTGCCGTCAGGAATCTCAAGGCCGAACGTCCGGAGGTTCTCTTCAGGCGAGATGGAATCCCAAAGCGTGGTCTCAAAAGGAACCGAGCAGGGCTTGCAACCGTTCGGAATGCGACCTTTGGACAACAAAGCAATGGCTTCCTCATTCTTTGCGATTCTGGCTTTGGTTTTCTGCAGCTGTTCTATAAGCGTACTTCTTGATGGCCTTCAGAGCATCAGAGGACATGGAATTTCTAAGTTCAGCATCAACCAAGTTTTTGATTTATTGAATCTTCCGCTCCACTTCTTGTTTCTGTGAAGTGTTCACCTCTTGTTCAGCACCGGAAGGACTTGCAGCTTCTCGCGACCGTGAGCGATGCTCTCGACGCTCTTGAGTCTGTCCTTCTGGAGGTTGCTGGACTGAAAGCAACTGTCTGGGTTGTCTAGACTCAGTGCCGGCCATGGCGTTGAAAAAAGGTATGTTGCACAAAAGCACACGGGCGGCAACAACCAGGCTCAAAGCACTAAGCGCACACCGTTTTACTGCGCCCTGGAACTTGCGACTCTAGGTGTAGCCTCGCTTTGCTGAGCGCCTTGCACAGAAAAAACTGCGGCAACCAAACATGTGTGATTTCACAACGAAAAGGTTGCAAGAGCAACAACAACAAGAGATGATTGTAATGGACCAAAATGAGAGATTGTGACTAGTAAAGTCATCAAGAGCAGAGAATTCAGTAGACAATTCATCAAACATGTTTCAGCAGAAAAGTTATAGATCAAAAGTAGAGATTAAAGAGCGGGAGGGGACGCTGAAATTAAAAAGAGCGGGAGGGGGTGTGGGTGAGGGCGCAGCGCCTCCCCCGTAATGAATGTCTAGAAGAGTCATCAAAAGCAAAGAATGCAATAGAAAACGCAAAAGATAGAGTTCAATATAAAATTCATTTAAAAAAATATCACAGTAGTGATTGAACTAGAAAAACCGTTGAGGTTTCAAAACACATATAGTCTGACATCGATAGAAGCCAAAAGCCACAAAAGCCAAACAACCCAAAAGCCACACTGAAGCCAAAAGCCATAGAAGCCAAAAGCCGCAAAAGCCACCAAAGCCAGAAGCCACAAAAGCCACAGAAGCCAAAAGCCACCAAAGCCACCTAACCACTAAAAACAACAAAACATATAAAAACACATCACCAAATCACCCTCCCTTTCTCGGCATGCCCATCGCTGCAGAAATGGAGACGTGTAAACCTCGTTGGAAGCAAAAGCAATCGCAAGCTTGCCGCAAGCTCAACGAGGCCCAGTTCCACTAAACACGACAAAAAGCTGGGCATGGAGCTGCCAGCTACGTAAGTGATGGTCTCCGGTCAGAGCCCGTCCCCAGGGAGAGGGCACCGGATCTACGCGTCTTCTTCGGATCGACGGGGCGCAAAAGCCATGCCAGTCGCGGACCGAAGAACATCAGGTCGGCCACCGAAAAGCCCGCCTGATTCAGCTGATTCAGCTGAGTGACTGCGAGTGATTGGCTTCTTGGGCTTCCAACCACCAGCAAATGTCATAAGCTTGACCGAATCAACTACAAACATGAGGTCGTTCCCATTTTTTTTAATAACTTTGGAAGTCTAGGGACTACGATTGGCTGGCGCTGAAGCCACGGTACTTCGCAAGACACGGAGAAGTCCTTGCTTGGTGTTTGGAAGTGTAGGGAAGGTGCGGGGAGGCTCGTCATGCCCCATGGCCATACACAGGCTCCCTAGGATTACCTTAGGAGAGTTCCAGCCAATCGCTAGGGCCGCTAGGGATTCGGCAACCATCCAAAACAGGGGTGAATCATAAATCCGTTTGAGCAATCTTGCAACAAGCAAACCTAAACTCCTTGGCTCTGTTTATGGGTTCCCACAGAAATCTCTGATCCCTGTAGTCACTCACATCGTGAACCTGTTATACTTCAAAGTTATATATCTCAGCTGCCAAATCCACTAAGAAATCATCCGCCGACCGCCACTCTGACCTGTCTCGCCTGTGGAATCACATAGCCGTTGGTGCTTTTCGCCAGAATCCCCTCGAAGATCTGAATCCTGTGCACCGAAGCAGAAGCAGAAGTGGAACACGTCGGTGGGTTCCACGTGGGACGTCTCAGGGACCTGCTCGTTCCGCGAAACAACTGCTCAAGATCTGCGGTTGGTTGGATTCCTCCGTTGAGGACTGCCGAGACGGAGCGGCAGACGGAGGATTTGGAGATGTTGAGACCGAACATGGAACAGTGACACACAACGAAACAAAAACAGGTACGACACATAGAAAACAAGAAACATGTATGATATTGTATGATCCTGTATGCTATGTACATATGGAAAATGTTCTTTGTTTTTCTTCAATATTACACCCCCTTTTCTCAGGTACACCCTGCGACTCCATGTCTAAATGGTCTGAGCATGGCTGGAAGAAATGCTCCGTGTCATTCGCAGTGGCGGAGAAGTCGTTTTCAAAAGCACCCGTTGAGACTGTTCAGAGTGCCCCAAGCCATGCTGCAAGCAACACAGATTTTAGGGATGATTTCAAAACCTTTCAAAACAGTTCGCTAGCTCTGACTATTCAAGTACCTTTGACGCAGGCCGTTTGTGAAAGAGAAGAGTGTCTTGACAACCACGGTTATAAAACCTATTCGAGATCCACGCAGCACTTCATCTCACAATCGAAAGGCATCTGAGGCCCAAACAACCCCCGAGCTTCGCCATCTGTGTCGAACAAGCGTTGCCGTGCTTGCTCCTGATGCTGTCAAACCAAACACCAAACACCTGACCGGAAAACAAAGACAAACGCTCCATGGGACAGAAAATACATATGCCTTTCTTTCGACCCTCGAAACCACCGTGTAGACGCAAAAAAAAGCACACATGGAGTGTCTGGGAAATATATACACACCTTATAAATAATGTTACAAACCCATTTACACCGACAAATAAATCCGAGATCACTAGCCATATCTAGCCATCTATCACTAGCGGGGCCAAGGCCGCCCACATCGTTTTCACGAGGCTGCACCAAAGTGCAACGTCCGGTGCTGCCAAAGTGCTTGCAAGTTGAGAATCCTCACCCAAAGCTCTTACCATCTAATATCATGTTTGTGTGTTTGTTTTGTTTCATTATATACTGTAGTTTATCACTATCACTATCTTTGACGGAGGCTTTCTTGTAAACTTCATCGAATCATTCATTCACATCTGTTGAGTTCCGGGTGCTCCAGAACTACGACCGGTCGTTGGCAGGATTTGGGCTCAAAAAAGCGGCCTCCTCGATCACAGAGTACACCGGCGATACCAAGGCGGACCCAACGTGACCCTCTTGAAAACACCGGGTGGATCGCATGCATCTCTTTTGTTAGGTGGCAGCTGCAGGACAGTTGAGCTGCGTCGATGAAGATCTCTCACAGATTCTCACTGTCCAACCTACAACGGTGCGTTCTTACAGAAGGCACGGAATCTCGCGCCTTCTGGGCTTGGTTCTGAATCCTGGCGAGGGAGAGAAGAAGCCACTTAGCATGACAAGACTGTGACTATGGCGAGATCTGTGAGCACCCAGTTTAACATGAAAGAACAACTGCTGGTGTTCACCATCTAAGTATACACCAGGTGTTGGGCGTGCAATCCTCTTTGTCTGATACTATTTGAGTTAGAGTAGATAGTTTCGAGTATAACACTGAGGGCCCATACTGATCGCCGGCATGGTGGACACAAGACTCTTACGCAGTGTTCAACTTGTCGAGACTCTTTGTGGCAGCAAGAAACCTGTCCTTCTGGGGCAAAGAAATTCCACCAGCTCCAAATGACGGAGGTATGTTTGTCAGGTAACTTCCCCTGGTTGAGGCTTTTGTGATACTCCCGCACTTGGCTGAAGTGGCACCTACAAACTTGGGTCAAATTGATGGCTCGCGTCAGTGGGAGGGTCGATTATACTTGGATTTGCTGAAGGAACCTGAAAAAAAAACAAACAAACAAAAACATATTTCCAGAGCGGGGATTTACCCATAGGCCCATAGGGAAATAAAACATCACCTGAAGCAATACCAGGTCCATCGGTGTGTATTTTAATAGAGACACCCACAACCAATGGGTGTTGGTCTATTTCCCTTCTTCCAGTCTTTGGAGGGTCCCCCTATTTCAATACCATATGTTACTGGAATTGCTTTAAGGTTTTACGCACGAACTCTCTTGGTAGCCACTTTCGGGGTGGCCGCCCGCTCTTGGAAAACACTCTCGTGAACCTCGATGGTGCGCTGAGATCGGGGCTGTTGGACTGAGTGTTCGTATACCGGCTACGCCTTGAGGACTAAACGTTTAGACTAAACGGTGGCAATTCGTCCCTCACAGGCCCAAAGATTGTGTGAATCTTTTCCTTGTTCAACACAGAGATGTGCTGATCTGGGGCAAGATGGGGCAAGAAAGCAAAGGCCAATTGAGGAAACTGAAGGGGGAATCTTTAGACAAAGAATCAGTGCCCCTTAATATCTTGTGTAGATGATATCAAACTCAAACAAAGCTCATGAATGAACGAACGAGCGTTCCCTCAACCCAATGTCCTCTCTGCTCTCAATCAGTGAAACCTTCCCAATCGTCCAAGCCCATCCGAAAACGTGGTTTTGCTTAAGGAACCCGGAAAAATATCTGAAATATTCCCGAAGAGGATTTACCCATACCAGTAGGAAAAACAAAACATCACCTGATCCGCAGATCACCGAGCCCGTCAGTTCATCGAGCTTCTTTCTTGCCTGTAGGTGGGTGCCAGAAGGATCCAAAGGTCGTCGAAGGAGTCCATGACTTCGTCCACCTGGAGCTGCCATCAGGGGGGCCATCAGGGGACTGCCACTTCACTTTGGACTATTTGTCCCTAGGGCTCCAGTCGTACCTTCTAAGAATGTGCTTGAGGTGGGTTTAGAGGGTCCAAATACCTTCTGATGAGGCACGACTGGAGCCCTAGGGTATATCATTACTGTATCTCAAAACTATAGACTTACAGTATATCAATTAGTTATAGTTATAGATGATAGCTGTTTTATGTCTTGATCTACGTATTGCTTGATACTACACTATATACAAACAGGTACTCTCCAAATTATGGAGACTTCTTGGAAGGTCCAGAATGGACGTTAAATCATGCCTCTTGCCATTTTGTTGCCGAGTGTAATTATGTTCAACAAACCAAACAAAGAGTGCCTGCATGCATGATTTAGCTTTCCGCCCGCTACATACCACTAGTTTCTTCATGTTTCTTCCATTCTCTTCCTTGTCCCTGTTGCATTGAATTCCTTGTTCTGTCCCAACCTCCCGTCCCGCGCCATCCCCCTCATCCACCGACCCATCCGTCTGCGCCTTGGCGGCCACATATGGATCACAAGGATACAGACATTTGCCTCGCTCAGACTTGTCACGCCGTGGACCGGTGGACCCGCCGTGGACCCGGAAAGTC